GTTTATTTAACTAGGATGAATAGTCGAATACTTTTTTCCCACGACAAGTACTTTGTTACTTCCCATCTCTGGATGTAAATTAAAGTCTGGAGTTATAATCGTTTATTGCAGGTTATTTCTAAATATCTCCATGGTCACTGTCACCAAATCTTTTTTCAACCGTTTGTTTTCCCCATTAGTGTCTACATAAGCAGAGACTATTTTTCCTGGGCTTTACATCACAAAGTTACGATTACATCATTCTTTCGCAAACTGTACAATAAAACCCCGTAATTGCCCTAAAGACTCAAACAAAGTTGAATAAAACACAAAAGTCAAATCGACCACTTAAGATTGCATAGATTCTTCTCCCTGTATGATGCAATATTGTGAAACCTTAAAGAACTGCTGTCATGTCGGCTAAAGAAGATTGCGCAAATATATTTACAGCAAATGGGAACAAAAGGGTGTGGTGATAGTTTTTTTTCCATCCCGATTTATTTTGGATGGATGCTACCATTACTGACACTGGTTTGAAGCTGAGAGTCATCTAGAAGTTTGCTGCTGAGGGCTCCAGAGAGCTTAATGTCCCTCTAATAGCAGCAATAAATTGTCCTGAGCTGTTAGACCCCAGCACAGCTTTTACTGGGAGACCATCTCTCTTTAACGCTCCTGCTCCCACCTCTTCGCCTTGCCTCCTAGATGAGTGTGTATGCCTGCACGCTGTCAATGTAATAGCTGAGTGGGAGTTGAAATGGCAGCTGTTAAATGGAGTATCCAGGCAAACACCTTTTTTGTCACTCAGCTAGAAAGTGCCAGACTGAAAGCGGGCTCTAAAATAAATGCAAAACATCTAAACAAAAACGCGCAGGAAGCACAGAGGCTGCAGATCAGACGGTCACATTTGTGATGGCGTGGCCTGACACGTGCCCTCCAGACGCGTTTTCATTTGGAATGAAGCAGGCCTCGACATCTTCTGCTTTGGTTTTAAAAGACAGCAAGAAAATAAAAGGAAACGAAGGGTGACTCATATATTGTATATGAAATTACAAAACATTAATGTTTTTTAAACTCAGGAATTTCAAATTTATTTCAGCAGCATCAAGGACAAACCGCTAAAACATCAACAACTTTCACAGTCCACAGTCTGCACTTGTTCATTTTTTTGGGTTGTATTGGGAAAAATTTTCCAAACGTATGTTTTGAGACTGAGTGAGGAAACCAGATAAGCAAAGGAAAGGAAAGGAAAGGAAAGGAAAGGAAAGAAGATGAAAACTCAAAGCAGAGACAACATATGAGCCCAGGATCTTGTTGCTGATGTATTATTTCAGTATTTTATCAAAACTATTTTCTGATATTTTATCCTTTTCTTTCAAGCATGACTTGACATTAACACCAACCAACCCAAATGCAGGTGAATTTCAGCTTTGGCAGGGAGCACAGCCACTTCTAAAGTTCTAGCCCCTTTGGTGCTTTGGGTTTTATTTACTCTTTTAATTGTTGCTTTCTTAAACATGATCTTAAATAATAAGCAAATCTAAAGATGACTCTGTAACATGTGGTGTTGCGCTGTCACCAATGGTTCCATTCAAGGTTCACTTTGTCTCTGTCCGCTCTGTGGAGCTGGAAGCCTGCCAGCTGCAGCGCAGAGTCCAGTATGAATCCACACAGCATGACCCCGTGAAGCACAAAACAGCAGATGAAGAGAAGTCCCTATTTTTTTCCCAGCATCAGTTGTAGTTCGTCCAGTTTGTTGGGCAGGGAAGATACGTAACACAAGATTAAACTCTGTAACGTTGAGCGGAGTCTGCACTGGTGAAGACGCACAAGTGCCCTGGTACGTTTTCCTCTCCTCTGAGGTTTCGCAGTGTGAGCAAAGGTGAGCACACCTTTCACAGAAATGTCTAAATTTCGAGTGTAGGGAGCGGAAAAGTGTGGAATAAATCCTCTGGAGATGTAGCCCTGATATTCATGAAGCTCTTCTCTGGTGAAAGAGGTCTGGGTATCATCGCAAAAGCCAGAGTTAAAGGTATAGTGGAGGATGTTCTTTGGATTATCAAAATAAGTGGTCCTCCTAATGGTCAATAATTCTGGTGATATGTTTACGTAAAGCTGTCCTACAAGCTCGTCCCATTTTCCCCTAAACCTATGCCCAGAGATACCAGGCTGCCAAGAATTTCTCATCAGTCTGCCTCTTGCAGACTCCTTTACTGCCTCTTATTTATTAAATTGTTTTTCTTTTTTTAAGATACCAGCGAAAAATCTGGTGACTTTTTCTGTGTTTTTGGAGACTTTGCTGACAACACATGAATGCAGTAACTGCTCAAGTTTTCACGGTCTTCTACTGCGAGGAGTGAAGGACTCTGAAGCGCCGACAGGGAGTCCAATGCAGCTCTGCAGCAAATGGCTGCAGGCAGAGAGAGAAGCAGTTCTCCTTTGTTTCTCTCTTTAAAAATGAGCAACACAAGCAAAAAGCTTCAACTAACTTGTTTAAATTAAAAGAAATATAATATAGCCTACATATATATATTTATGAATAAAAATATATTCATCTTTTGTTTAACTGCTGCCTCTGAATTTGGTAAGATGAGATTAAGATAAGAGTTCACCTTTAGTTTAAAATATTTGGTTTTTAAAATTGTTTTCCGTCCTCCTGATATTGATATTTCTCTCTCGGCAGTTTAATTATGCTGCAGCAGCACCTGACATCATTTTCTAACAACAAAATTGTGGCTAGTGAAAATGCTGAGTGGCTACTAACTTTGAAAAGAAAAAAACACTAGCCACAGTGGCCAGGGAGCAAAAAAGGTAATGTCCAGACCTGTACAAATGTATTTAAGTTAATCTTCTTTTTCATCGGCTTCAGTTGGCAAAACTCTATGTCCCCGCCACCAGTTTCCAAACGTTTCCATTACTGCTGTTCAGTAGCTGTACTGGCTTTGTTCGTACCTTCATATAAGTAGAAACAACCAGAGATGAAGGCCTACATGGTTAAAATAACCACCAGTTATTAGTCTATTTCTCCTAGTACTAGTGTTTTATTGAGCGTTCACGAGGAAAGAATGTTTAAAATGCTTTAAATGAAATAATAAATTAATAAAATTAATACTTTATCTGTATTTTATTTCTAATACAGATTTTGTCCTATCCCTATTCCTGTTGATAAAAAGCAAGTTTTGTTAATGCAGGGACATGTGTTTGAGTAGCAAGAATAAAATGAAAGAGAAAAGATACAAAATAGAGACCAGAAGAAATTACCAGAAGCCAGAAGTCTTTAAAAAATTAATGCTTTAGGAGCCGGTGTACGCCTGAATAGTTCAAATGAGAAAGTAATGTCAAGTTAAATTGAAAAATTTTTCTAAAATTAAAAAATGTGAAAAGTTTTGTAAAGAGCAAGAAGAACTAATAAACAGATAACATTTGTCAAAAATGACAAGTTTTGGCTCCTTGGAGACAAAATAAGCCGTATTTCTAAAAAATATACTTTTCTATGAGATATTTTTAGTGGAAATAAAATGTTTTGTTCCCCTGATATTGATTCTTTTAGGCGCTTATTGTTTCAGTGCAAAAGACATCAATCTTTATCCTCTATCAATTTTCTCATAAAAATTTAACTGTTCAGAATCAATATATGTATAAGTATACACATTCAAAATAGATTTACAGTTTTAAACTTTCAAAGAGCAATAGAAACTCAGTGCCGCAATTATTTTCAAAGGTCCCCTGATAGAGGTTATTGAGCCGTGAATAATAATGAGTGATTAAATATTAGCTGACATTCTACAACTCAGTCACAGTGTTTAACTAAACATTTTCAGAGACAAACAATAGCGCACACAACCTGCAGACTGTGGATCAAACACAGGAAAACAGTTAAGGAAAAAAAACCTAAAGATTTACAAAGACATTGGCCTAAGATGTATTAAAAAGACCAACTTTTTAAATGATTCACAAATGCTCCGCTCCTGGGTTAAAATCACAGCATCTTTTAGTAAATCTGTGAACTCTGGCTTTTTTAGAACATGCTTGAACACTGTCAGACACTTGTCAGGAGGCCAAGCAGTCTTGGAGGTGGGACCCAAACTGGTTGAAAGAAGTACATGCTCTGAAGAGTTTTCAGCTGAAAAAAACTTCAATTTTTTTCCTGGTGCAGGACATCAACTAAACCACACCAACCCCAGAACAATGGCAGACATGTTTCTTATATAGAGGAGGAACTAAATTGGAAGAAACCATTTTTAAAAGGATGCTCAGCTTCACAATAACAAGAAGAAAATGAAAATTTGTTTTAAGCGAACAGCTGATTAAGAAATACTTTTACCAATAAATACACAAAACAAATATTTCAATTAAACCCAAATACTCAAACTCAATAAAGAAAACACCATTCATCAGATCAACCTCCCCTCCTTCAATTATCCAATGGTGCAGTCCTGTACACACCTGCTTGGAGAATGAAACAGCAGAGGTGATATTTCACAATATTTTAACTCTTTAATCCGTGAATTTCCCTTTTATGAAGAGTTAAACAAAAAACGAAATATTGTGAAATCAATTTACCTTTTTACAAAAATGAAAACAAGATGTGGCCAACCAAAGAACCACAACCCAAACAAATCCACTTCACCCAAAACAACTAAAATAAACCAATGTAGAAAACCAGATGCTGTGTTTAGCTGCTACTTTGGGCAATATAGAGGTTGTCAGGACTCCTGTTTTTGTGTTTGTGTCTGTGCTTGTCTCTCTTCATCCACCAGGAGGCGCCTGGTCTGCCTCCTCACACACCTGCTGATGGTTTCCTCGTTAAACGGAACGTTCTTAACCAGATGACTGCCACTACCTCGACGCCAGAGTGTTTGCCAGCTTAGGGTACTCTAGCTAAGCTGAGTTTTGCTGAGTTAAGCTGAGTTTTTGTCAACCTGAATTTAACTTTGTTTTTGTCTTTGCCTCTTGGCAGGAAGTCGTCCTGCAAACTGGATTTTCTCGGACCTTCACTCCCTGGAAGGATCAACTGAGCTTCAAACTGAGCTGGGGTTCAAACAGGAGGTTTGGATCCACTTTCCCCAAGAGATCGTTTGAGCTTCTCACTGAAAAAGGGAATATTCTCCACTACGACCCGTTCAAGTACCGCAGGAAATCTGAATGGCAGTCAGTTTCTCCGTTCACCAACAATCAACCGCATTCTGGGTAAAACCTGTTCCGCCCTCCACCGAATCAGACAAACACTGGAACCACGGCACACAGACCGGAGTCAAGGATTCAACAAGTTCTCTGGAAACGTGAGTCGGCAACCAAATCCTCTTCAAGTTCAAGAGTCTTTTTCCCCACTGAGCCTGCTAACCGCTGTGTCTTCCCCTCACTTTACAGTTCCGGTTGAGCAGTGTTCAGAGCAACACTTCTCCCTCTGTTTAACTTCTTCAATAAAACCCGTTAAACCTTTCCCCTGGTCTCTCTGAATTGGTTTCTCTGCATGTGGGTCCGAGCTTTAGATAAGATCATGACACAGGTAACAATGGGTCATTGTTATAAACACCTGTGACATGAGAATGGAGTGGACCTTCACCATGCCTGCTCAGTTTCTAAACTGAAACAGTGAAATAAAGAGGTCTCATCGATATTTGGTTTTTAACCACATTTATGACAATGTGTTACTAAAGTTCTACACCAGGTTTAAAATTAATTTATTTAGCAAAGATGTATCCATCCATTTCCTCCATTATCAATGCATGTATAAGTATACATATTTAAAATCCTCCATTATCTTAACTCTATCTGGGCTGGTGTGGGGCTCTACACGATTCAGAAGTGTAGTGCTGGTCAACGCTACAATACGCAGGACAGTTTAGCGCACACACACATTTAAGGCCATCTGACCGTGGAAAATTAACCTAAAGTGTCGGGTCCATAGGGGCCATGAACCCTGACATTTGTCACATATTTACCCAAAGGTTTTAAATGATGAAGTGAGAACATTTTACATCATCAAAAGGTCAAATGTGAGCTTCGCTTGCATCATGACGCGCTTCACAAACAGCAGGAAGGAAAATGTGGTTAAATCTTTAGATGTCAACATCTATGGAAAGCTTAACAAACCATACTCAATGTAATTTACAGGCCACCACTTTACTGTACATAAGATACTGTATATAATATGTCACCTTAAATCTCTTCTTTATTTTTTACCATCCACTGGATATTATCTGGATGCACTGGATATACTTTATGCACCTTTTCCTCCTTTGTGCTCCTCCGGTTTGTTTATAAGATCCAGTGCATTTCTCCAATGTGAAATCAATAAATTTCTATTCTTTTCTATTATATTCTATTGTTAAACTCTGTACTTGTAGTGAAATTTGAATTGAAGAAAAATTGTACATGATGAATCTATAGAGCCTAATATTGATTTATTTCACTTTTCATGCATCGATGAGGTGCATTTAGCCTGAAAAATACATAATAAATAATTTTTTTCCAAGTATAAACATATTCCAGTACACCACCTATTTTTTTGTATTACTAAATAATATTTTGTGTGGTGCTCCCCCTACAGGACCTAGTGTAAATAGCTTAACACTGCATCCCCTCCTAATGCACCACACACAACAATTACAATCACTTTAGATGCATATCCCCTCTGAAGGGGAGGATAGTATTGAACAGTGTAGATTAAAGTGAAAAACTTCATTGCCAGCTAAAGTTAATGGTGCGCCACGGTTTGCACCTTTTTTATAATTATGTGCGGATCTGTGTGAGCATGCTCACTACAAACTGAAAAATGTTTTAATGTGTCAATGATGTCTTCCTGTTTTATCAAAAGGAAAACAACAGATAGCCAGACTCCCTTTTCTGTAAAACCCCTCTGATAGAGACACTGACTCACCGGAGTGTTTCGGTCCATTTGAGCTCCAGCTCCAGAGCCATCTTGTCCATTTTATGCTTTTCATCTTCTTTGGTGCTAATGAGTTTGGCTTCATGTTGGCGTTTTTGGGTTTCCAGCTCACCCTGAGGAACAAACAGGAGAGTCTTTAAGCTGTAAATTACTGCTAATAGTGATTAATTGTCTTTTTCAGTAGCATAGCGATTTTTCAAGAACAATACTGTTGGAATAATTATGTATAAGATACTTAATGTTTGTTTTTATGATGTATAATGTGTAACATATTACTGTTCCAGAGAGGTGTTGCACAAGCAGTAAAGGTTAACTCTCAGGAAGTATTGCTCAAGCTTAACGAAACCAGGAGGTTCTTGGACCATTTGACCGCAAGACATTTAAATGCAGATTGACCTGTTCACTGAGGCTGCAAATTGAATTGTATTTCTTGTTTCCCATTCCTTTAGCGCAACCTCAGCTTGTGTAACTAGGGACCCCCCCTCTGACTTAAATAAATAGCGAGGAGAAAGCTGAAGACTGGCAGAGTGGGGTGGAGATGTACCTGCAGGTCTCTTCCTACTCTCCTGGCGAGTAAAAATAATTCTGACTCTGTTCCTTTCTTTCCTTGTTTTACAGTGTTTTAGGAGTCAGACCTGACAAATACCGACCTGGAATCCCTGCTAATATTGATCCAAAATAGCAGAGTCTTTATAGAGTAAGCCAATCAAAATTTGATTTTCTTAAACAACTTTAGGTTATGTGGAGGTACAAAAAAAATGCTCCTTCTGTTCCTAATCGAAAGCTTTATAATAACACAATACACATAATCTTTTATTTACCAACCACAGATGAAACCAAAAGCAATACCAATAGCCATAATGATCCATTTCCACAGGATTTATCAGAATAAGTATAAGCTAGGTTGTGCTGTTTATTATTGAATAGCCAAATAGAGTTTTGGCTAAAAGATGTAAATTACTCATCGTTTTCAGACTGTTTGAAATTTCTCCCTACTGAGAAAAGCTTAATAATAAATGGGAAACATTAAATATAGCTAATCTTCTCAACAGCTTACATCTTTGCAATTTATTCTACAGTTAGACCTTGAAATGCTTGGAAGAATTGAAAAATCCCAAAAGCTGTTTCAGACTCTATGAGCAACCATTATCATGATAGAAATTATTCATAGGAGTAGAGTTTGGTTTAAAAAGTCAGATCTGAAAAACCCACAAAATTTTACAAACGCTGTCCTGCTGTTATATGAGAGCAACGTTTAGATGTTTATAACGCACAGCAGGATATTTAGAGAAAAACAGTCGTTAAGCATGGTGATGGACGGCTGATGATCTGAGCTGGTTTTCCAGCTACTGGGCCTGGATGCCTTTTAGTCGTTGACAATTATATAAAAAGATTCCTCTATGTTTTGTTGCTATTTTTACTCGGATCTTTGTAAATCTAATTTTAATCCTTCGTCTGTTTTAATTTAGCACTTTGGACACTGCCTCCCTTTTTTGAAATGCTTTATAATTAATTGGCTTTGCTTCTCTAGAATCAATAGGGACACCATCTGTGTAAAAGTACTTTCATATTGAATGTAGTGAAGGTCCACCCAGCTCGCTCCATCCCTGTCTATCCACTTGCAGGTTACTGATTGAACTTGATTTAACTGAGTAAGTCAATGAGATGTATGTGATACTGAAAAATGAAAAGAGGTGTAGGCGGTGAGACCAGGGAGCCCATCAGAGCTGCTCCCAGTTTGGCCAGTGCCTCAACCTGCTCCAGGAGCTGCTGGATAATTGCTTACAGTTTCTAGCAGGATCCAGTTTTAGGAGCAGCTGTGCTGCTGCAGGGGGACGGATAGACCTCTGGTGAGTTTTGGATTAAAACGGGCTTTGTCTCTGCTGCGCTCCTTCACCCTTTGAAAGAAGTTCTGTTTTTTTTTTTTTTAAGTACTGCGACAGTTTGCTTTGCTCTATCTGCTGCATCTATAACCACGCTGCTCCGCTTGGAATCGTTTTAAATGCGATGTTTGCTTCACCAGCTGTTTAGTCACAACTTCATAAAGGGAGGGGATGTTTTCGCTATCGGTGTGAACGCATCTTAACTGCTGAAGCTTAAACCAAAGCTGGTCATCGACAGGGTAATTATTTAGAATACAGGAAAACGAAAACTACAGAATGGCTGGAGACGTTCAGGAGCCAGGTATTACAATGACCCAGAGGTCAAAGGTCAGACCTCGTCCTGGATAGAACCCTGCAAAGCAGCGGTCCCCAACCACCGGGCCGCGGGGCATTTGGTACTAGGCCGCACAGAAAAAAGTATATATATATATATATATA